CCTTCCTTAGTGAGGTCATTATGCAATACACATCCTGTCTCTTATACAAAAAAAAAAAAAAAAAAAAAAGACCAACACGGGTGTGAGTGTGAGCATGAGTGGGTGGTGTGTGTGGGGGAGTGTTGGCCATAACCACTGCCGCTACTCGATGTGGGGTGGGGGAAGTAGATGGGAGGGGCAGTTACTGGCAGTCGGTCTTTGTGTTAGCCGGTCCCCCCCACCGGCCGCCCTGCCGTACTCCCTGACCGCCGCCGATTAGGGCGGGGGGGGGGGGCAACATGCATCCCTAGGGGTAGCTATGCTTGCAGGGGTCCCCTGTATAGGCTTAGGACTAGTGGTAGGTAGATAGTGAAAGGCGAAATTGAGAGAAGAATATAGCTTAGCTTTTGGGGGGGGGGGGGGGGGGGGGGGGGGAGAAAAAGGCAGATCCCAGTGAAAGATAACATGAAATTATTTGCTACTGCCATCCTTTTTCCCGGGTCTACAGGATCCCGTCCAGGTCTGGTCTTAAAGCATCTACCGTCCTAAACCCTATGTGTCTAGGGCCAGGTCATCGAGGCTCCAGTAGTTGCAGGTTCTGGGTTCGAATCTGCACAGCAGCAAACATCAAAATTAGCAAAAATAGAAACCACACAGCCCATACTGACCTTGTGCTTATGCCAGGTGCCAGGTTCGATTCCCGCCTGAGCACAACGGGTGCTTTCTGAACACGAAGAACGACTGATCAGCTTTCCACGACACAGGAAGATGACATTCCAGCAAATGCTCTTGTAGTTAATATGCCATGTGCTGGGTTCAAATCCCGCGTGAGCACAACGGGCGGTTTCTGAACATAAAGAACAAGTGATCGGCGTTCCACGACTGTCACACAGGAAGATTCTGAACATGAAGAACAAGTGACCGGCTTCCCACGCCTGTCACACAGGAAGATGACACTCCAGCAAAGGCTCTAAGACTTGTGCTTCTGCCAGGTGCTGGGTTCAAATCCTGCTGGAGTACAACGGGTGCGACACAAGAAGAGGACACTCCAGCAAAGGCTCGTGTGCTTTGCGAGGTGCTGCGTCCGAAACCCAGCTGAGCACGATGGACGCTTTCTGAACACGAAGAACGACGGATACGACAGAAGAAGAAGACACTCCAGCAAAGGCTCTTATGTACACTATGCGAGGTGCTGGGTCCGAATCCGGCCTCAGCACGAGGGGTGCTTTCTGAACACGAAGAACGACTGATGGGCTTTCCATGACACAGGAAGATGGCACTCCAGCAAAGGCTCTGCGAACGTACCGATCTCTCCTAGCGTCCGCTTATAGTCGATGACCATGGCGCCCACGGGAAGTTCTCTTCTTAGTTTCTCGGCCGCCTGGCGATGCAGACTGTCGTCCCAGCATTGGGAAGTCAACATCACGATGGCCGCTTTCGAAAGATCGGACTCGAGAAGGTCCAAAGTCAAGAACTCGATCCCTCTCATCTTGTGCTTATTGGTCAGCGCTTTGGCAATCCTGACCCTCGATTCCAGCAGCTCGTATCCGGCGGTTCGCAAGCCGTAAGTAAGGTTCCCATAGAATGCGAGCCAGCCAAGGGAGCTTCCCCAGACGATGTACTCTTTATCGTCTTTCAAAGCGTCGACCACACTGTCCTGCACCACTGGGTGCACGAAGAGCTGCCTCCAGGACGAGTATGGCGTCGATCCGTAAGCAAAGTTTTCCATGCTGTATGTTCCCCTCAAGGATTGCGCCAAGGACTCGTGCAACGTTCCTGCAAGGCAATCTATCTCCTTCTCCCGTCTCCACAGCTCACAGATGACATCCTCAAGCACATCAGGACACGCAACACATGGAAGTGGGACCGCATCAGCTTTACCAAGTTCTCTCACACAACTTATGCTTCTCTCAAGCGCCGTTGAGCTCTCCTCACTCCAGGTCGATATGGACTGCACGAGAGGACACGTAGGGTGATACGGCGGGACTATGGGTTGACATGGTAATGGTGGTGCCGCCTCCACACGCCTTTCGTCTTGCTGGACAGCTGTAGGAGCACCAGCTGTGTTTCCTGTGTTCAGGATCTCTTTTTGGTCGTCACTTCTCGGTCTCTGGTCAGCTTCCGCATGCCCATGATTAAAACACGGGTGAGGTTCATCTCCTTCTTCCAAGACTTGTACCTGATCTGTGAAGGAGCACGAATCTGACGTGGCAGCCAATAACTCTTGCCAATATTCATGGGGATCACCTTCCTTAGTGAGGTCATTATGCAATACACATC